AGAATTTCAGTAGAAATGTAAATCTATAAATTGGTACATTGTAAAATATATTTAATAACATTTTGTAAAATTACTTCGAAATGTAATTTCTCATTTGAACCAGATTACAAATTTTGCCAAATTTTACAAGTGATTCAGTTAGCCAAAGGAATGTAATTTATGGAAGCGACTAAGGAGGAGGCCTTATCAGAAATTCATCCCGATTCCCAATCATATAGAATATGTTTTTTGGACCTTCAGAAACAATATTAAAACGATTCTAGGCAAAACGGATACAACCCCCCAACCCGAACATTAAACAATGCTTAAAAATGTAATAAAAACCATTTTTCTTACATCTGATGTACAGAATCATATAAATAATATTTTTCGGGCACAATTTAAGTAAAAATACTTGTTTATAATCATAAAAGTAAACTCGTACTCTTTTCCTGCTCTACTCCCCCTTCCACTCAACATAACCATAACCCCTAAAGACACTTACGTAAAGATTTGAACAAAAAAGAAATTTTAAATCATGTAAAAATAATTAAGGTCTAGAAAAAATAATATTCTACTAGATTTAGCTATAATTAAACCTCTCAGCCGCCAGCACTTCAGAGGGGACTCACTTTGAACCAGCCAGCACCCCAATCAGTGAGAGGCAAGGGAACTCACATCAAACTATGACAAAAAATATTAGAAATGAACTGTAACATTATACTTAAACCCTATTTTTATGCCTGTTTATAAAAGTTAGAGAAACAAGATGGAGATACAAAGAAGAAAAAGATATACGGGATGGACGCTCGAATGGAAGGGAGTGGATTGACCTATTTTTAAACTAGAAACATTTCAATATTGTTTATATTAGACTGACAGATAAATGTTTTTGTGAAATCTCTTTGATATTCTTCAGTATCTTTCAGGGGTTATGTAGAAGGGGGAAAGGGTGGAAGGGGCAGAGGTAAAAGTTTTTACTATAAGCAAGTATATTTTACTTAATTTGTACACTAATAATGTTATTCATATGATTCTGTGCATTAGATGTACGAAGAATGGTTTTATTACGTTATTAACAGTTTTTAACTGTTTTGGGTGGAGAGGTTTAATCCGTTTTGCCTAGAATCGATTTAATATTGTTGCTTTAGATTCAAAAAACAAATTCCATATGTTTAGGATCAATTTCTGATAGGGCCTTATTGACCCTCCTCTGTTATTTTTGTCTACAATTATTTATTTTATTTCTAGCATTTTTTATGTTTCATTCTTTTTTAAATTACATACTCGCAAATATCTCGAAAGAGCTTTTACGTAAATTAATAAAACTTGGGATGACAATTAAGGATCCACTGAATACATAATATACCTATACAATTACATCAACCAGTGGTGAAACTACTGGGAGACGCTATCATTGGAAATCCCAGAATTTAGATGTCGCTCAGTGTTATGGAAATTCTATAAATCCATTAAATTTACAATTCAAAGAAAAATTTTAATGGTTTAAAATTTAAGGAAAGTTAGTTTTATTCGTAAAACGGCTAATTTTGAGAAATTGAAATAAATAGAAAATAATAATGAAACTGTTCGCCTCATATTGCAGTATTATATATATGCAGTATTTTTTTTTATTAGAAATACAATTTTAAAGAAAATATAATCATTAAAACCTAAAAATCATTAGAGTAGAAATTTTTATTTTCCCGGGGGATAATAAGAAGTAAGTTTCTGCGCCACTGAATTGTCTGGACTTTTAATGATTACATTGTAATTATAATTAATATAATTGATTGAAAAACTCACGTTTTTTTTTGTGAAATTATAGAACTACTTTCAGTTTATTCAACCGTGTGGTAAGTTTATTTTAGTTTAATTTAAATTTAAAATAATATGTTATATATCGATATAAATAAAAGAAATACCTTTTCTCTAAAATGGAATCAATAATTGACTATAATCATATAAAATACACATCGTATATACAGGATGGGCCATTAGTGTGAGAAAGTAAAATAACTCCCTTGTTATTCATAATACAGAAAAAAAAGTTTATATAAAAGTTGTAGAGAATCAAAAATCCTACAGGATAAAATTAATTTGAAACACACAGGGCGATGAGTAAAAACGGGACACGCCAAATATTATATTTTTTAAATGAAACACCCTATATATTTTTAAACATGTGGATTTCTGAGAAAATTCTATATATGGCAATATAAACAGTTTATCATTTTAGTGCGGGGTTGCCAAGTTATGTAGAAAATTCTTCGAATTTTGGAAAAAACATGACCCTCGAAGAAGTTGTATTAACTTTCAACTACTAACACTTGGAGCAAAAATATTTGACAGAGTTATAGGCAAATGTTNGATGAGTAAAAACGGGACACGCCAAATATTATATTTTTTAAATGAAACACCCTATATATTTTTAAACATGTGGATTTCTGAGAAAATTCTATATATGGCAATATAAACAGTTTAATGCGGGGTTGCCAAGTTATGTAGAAAATTCTTCGAATTTTGGAAAAAACATGACCCTCGAAGAAGTTGTATTAACTTTCAACTACTAACACTTGGAGCAAAAATATTTGACAGAGTTATAAGCAAATGTTAAGCAAAAACTCCTATATTAGCTAATATCGATATTTTATACAGGAAATTTTTTATAATACGATCATTTTAAGAAAATTCAAACTTGATTTTCTAAAATTTTTCAAATGAAACACCCTATATTTTATTGTTCTATTTTATTCACCTATCAGTCCACTCCAACTTTTACTAAGTATGTTCTACACCTAATAGTTGTTAGTTTTTAAGATATAGCAACATTTCTGAAAAAACCTAATTTTTATTATTTTCGGTCGCACGAAATGGTTTCGGAAAAAACTGTCACATTGTGTCAACTGTCAATTTATAATGTATCATTCCATTTTAAGTTAATTTTATTAGTTAATATTTATTTGTGGTATTCTATAAAATAATAAAATTTGTTTTTCAGAAATCTTAAAAACTAACAGTTTTAGATATAGAACATACTTAATAAAAGTGGACCGATATGTGAATAAAATAGAATAATAAAATACAGGGTGTTCCAAAAATGCCCTGTATAAAATATCGATATTAGATAGGAGTCTTTGTCTAAGATTTGCCTACAACTCTATCAAATATTTTTGCTCTGAGTGTTAGTAGTTGAAAGTTAATACAACTTCTTTGAGGTCATGTTTTTCCAAAATTCGAGGAATATTCTACATGACTTGGCAACCCCGCACTAAAATGATAAACTGTTCATATTGCCATATATAGAATTTTCTCATAAATCCATATGTTTAAGAATATACAGAGTGTTTCGTTTAAAAAATGAAATATTTGGCGTGTCCCGTTTTTACTCATCACCATGTATGTATCAAATTAATTTGTTTTGTTTAGGTTTCTTGATTCTGTATAACTTTTATAGGTATGCACTTTTTTTCTGTATTATGAGTAACAAGGGAATTATTTTACTTTCTCATACTGATGGCTCACCCTGTATGTACTCAGTTGGTAATCTTATAGTTCTGGAAAAAAGAGCCTAAATAGGTAGGTGTATACAGTTTAGTCATATTTCGTTTATTGTGACAATTTGTAATTTATTCATTTACGNCGCCGAAGAGCGGAGCTCGCGCTCGAAAATTAAAAGTTAAAGGTTTACCCCACACGTACGATTTTGTTTTATGTTGATATGTTGAATAATGTACGACTACAGCTAACAGGCGCAAAATGTTAAGTAGCTTAGGATCTAAACGATGAAAATTAATTTTTTTTTTAATTGTAGGCAATTGTGCTGTGGTTAATCTACCGTGATGGAATATTTTATAAATATACATATATATTTTTCCAAAAATTAAAAAAACGGTGACGTATAAAACTAGGGTGACGCATAAAACCTTACCAAAGCTGCAAAAATGAAGTTAATTGAATTTTGCAAACTGCTTTTGGTTTCTGCCTATTTACGCTATGTGTATACCAAATTTCAAGTGTCAGCAAAACTTCAAACAAATTTGGCAAAGTTTTGAGTTTCAGATGCCGATGGATGTATAAAAATTTATAGAACAAAAAGTTTTGCTCTCCTGATTTTCGGCTTTAGCGTCATTATTGTATATATATTGAAATATAATTTTCGAAAATTTTATCACTTTCTGTTTATAATTGACATTTTTACATTAACTTTAAAAAAATGACGTTTTATACCTTTTTTCAATCACACGGCTTTGTTATTGCAAATTTCGTAATCGGACCACCGTCATTTTGTAGCTATTTTTATTACGAACAAAATCATGTCCTAAACATTTCTTCGTACAAAGTCATCCCGCTGAGTAATTTAAAGAAAAGTACTAAAAAAAATTTTTCACGATTAAATTGTTAATAACTTTTTTCCTGATAAAATACTTTGTCAGCAAATTAGCCTATTATTGTACTAATCATATACAGTATTCCTGTGTAGTTATTTCCGAGTTATCAAGGAAATGTCACCAACAGTAACTTTTCGGCCTCTGCCGACTGGACTATTTACATATATAATAATAACAATTATCGTTTGCCTACTTTATTTAAGCTTAAGGTAAATTATAAAATGTATCATTAGTTCAGGGGTGACAATATAAATTAGACAGAGATCGTTTTCTAAGTAATTTCAAGTTAGTTAAATACTAAGTATAAATGTAATACAGAAAATTATTTAACAAACTAAATGATACTGTGAAAATTAGGTAACCAATATTTAAAACAAGTTACCGAAACACTTTTTGACCCAATAAGTTGCTCAAGAAATTGTAGCAATTTGAAAAATAACTTTGACATTACTTAAGAAACGCCCCTTGTAACAGAAGCGTCAGTAATATTTTCCCCTTAGTGTTAGTGATGTGCAGTTCTAAACAAAAGTGCGATGTGATGTCCCCGCAAGAAGACATCAGCGACCCGCTACCGGGTTCTTGCTCTAGGACCACAGCCGCTTGCTACCCCCGACACTGAACCGCCGATGCAGGGGCCGCGAGCGCGGCCATGTCGTCTCTGTCGCGTGCTCAGAGCTGGCCGCTGCTATCTGGAGCGGCTCCTGCTGAAGATGCCCGGAATATCAAGGCCAAGTCGTCGCAGGTTTGTCACGAGTTTGAAAAAATGCGTTGAGTTTTCGGTTGTTTAGAGAAATGTATTAAATACCCTTCCATCCCACGAACAATTGGTTTCTACAAAGATGTTTGACATGTAATAACAAAGTATAGCTCAGTAAACAACAATTAGGTTCTCAATTTTATTCAGCGTCGCTTCTGTTCGCAATTAATATAAGAATAACAGAACTTTAGACAGTGATTCCACTTTAATTTTGAATTTATTACATCATTGCATTATCATATAGGTATATAACCGTCATAAATGATTACAAGCCACGTGACCATCGAGCTTAGGAACAATCCATGGTTGATACTGTCAACTGAAAACCCCTAAATCTTGTTTTAGATAAACAAAAACTCAATTACATCCAGCATTTACGGTCTTTAAAACTTCCTTAACGTCCTTAACATCCTTAAAACGCCCTTAAAATGAGACTTCCTGTGCAACTTTTGGCAACCTTTCTGTGCAACTTATTTTTTCCAATATTGGTATTATTGCTATTTATAACTTTAATAAAGTAAAAAGTTACATCGATTTCCCTGCATTTTACGCTGTAGATACACCCATCTCAATTAAATTAATGAAAAAATAATGATAAAATTCCTAGCCAAAAACATTTCTAATTAATTGTTTCAACTAAAATACGAATGTAATACCGTCATATGTTAATTTTATTAATATTTCCAGGAATGGTGATTAGGCTAGTTTTTATTAAAATTTGTAGGCAGGACATTTCCTGAAACATATGGTTATTTTAAATTGGAGGTAGCAATTTGAGATTTTTGCTAATTCTTGATCCACCCAATTTCCGCATTATTTACATTTAAATTAGATTATTTATTACAACTAAATAATTTTATAATAGTATTAAGCGTTCATTATATTATCACGTTTACTATAGAAGCTATCCTGTTGATTTTTAAAATACTAAAAACAACTAGTGAGAAAAATATATTGTCTTCTCGGGGCTACGCGCTGGCTGCTAAGAGGGTAAAAATAGAGAGACAAATCCATTCATTTTAACATTTTATTATGTAAATGCATACTTACACTTACCCCTACGAGGAGTTACTTTTCATGCGGAGGACAAAATGGTGAACTGACTCCTGGCCTTCGACTGGCTCCGGACTGGCCCAGATTCACCAAAACTCGGAAGTTTAAATATTCTTTTCAAAATGCTGAGTGCATTAGAATTAAACAACGGATAGAAGAATTGGGAACAATGACTGAGTCAGTCTACCAGTATATACATATAGAGAGGGAGATGGATAGTGCAAAGGTCAGTTCAATATGCCTACAGTTTGCAACTGAACACTTTTCGTTGCTTTTAAATCTATTGATTCCAATTATACATATTTATAAATTTTGTTCTATGAAATGACTTAAATGAATATTTGTACCGAAGATACATTTGTAAACATCTACTAAAAAAATATGTGTCCAAATAAAGTAATATATATAGTTTATGTTTATATGTATTACTTTGAATCTCTCTAAAGTACTTATAGTTGACAATATCGGTGGTTTTATGGCAAAAGGTACTATGTGATATTTTTAATCAAAATTCTATTTTAAATAGTACTAAGTTCTATTAAAATTATTCATACAATACAATTCAGTATTAACAGGGTGACCTATATACCGGGTAGGAAAGTACCGATGGTCTATCTGAAGTTACGTGAGAGCGATAAAGTAAGCCATAGAAATCCATGTGATAGACAAGGATGGGTATAGTGAAGGCGTCTATTAGTCAACGCCCATTTCGCCCTTCCACAAATAAGAAGTGGATCTTATTTGTGGAAGGGCGAAACGAGCGGTGACTATGAGACGCCTTCATTATAGCCATCCTTCTCTATCGCATGGATTTCTATGGCTTACTTTATCGCTCTCACGTAACTTCAGATAGACCATCGGTACTTTCCTACCCGGTACTCATTCTATTGACTGATTTTATGGTAAAACGTGTTGACTTGTAGTATTTACTATTTTTTGCCGTAAAATCAAAACCATAATTATTCGATTATGTTTACTGTGGTAAAAAAGTTATTGAAAGCGAAATACTAAATAGCGAATTTTCGGTTGTACATTAAAAAACGGGGCAAAAAGAAAGAACTATAAGTACTGATTTTGTTTCACTGTTCGGTTTAACCTCACTTTTACTTTAACAATTTTATTGCACTTTGATAGTGTTTATAATCCACTTGAGGCTCAAAAATCGCTGAATTAAAGTATATTACCTTGTATAAATATTTTTTTCTATATAAAAACGCCTTAAAATTGTAGTAAACTTTTCTTTTTACTACTAGCAGTATCATATAATAATGATCGAATTTATTAATTTTCTTTATTAAAATGGAGCTACTCAAAAGCTAAAACTTGATTTAATTTGACTTTCCTTTTTTTATGACAGCGCCTTTTGCCATAAATTCACCGGTACATCGTATCAACTCTCCATGACCCTAATAAGAGAGCATCTTAAAATGTTTGCTATAAGGGCCACGTTGTTTACCAACAAACACAATAAGCCATTTGCACGTACTTTCCCATTCAGCTATTCCAATAATCGCCTTCTCCAATCATCCCCGAGTGAAAAAAACCTTCTCTACACAACCGAATCTCATAAAGTCCTTAGAATAACATGGGACGAGATATTTAAACGCAGCATTTTCAATGTCGCCCACAGATACAAGCCCGCAGGCTGTTATGTCGGCACTATTACCCGGAAGGGGGCTGGGGTTGGGTGGTCGCCGTGTGCGCCGTCCTGGTCCATATCGTCAACCACGGATTTCAGATATCCTGCTCGCAACTGGTCTCTCCTGCCGCCTTCAAGTTTCACGTGCCGAAATCTTATCCAGCAGGTAAGTTGAAAAAAGTAGAGATTTTTTATTTAATGCCACAATATGTCTATACAAAATGTACGTATGTTGAAGGGTCAATTTATACACTTTTGGAAGAAGCAAATCTCCTATTAATAATAATGAGAATAAGCACTTTATTTTCAAAATTTATTTCAAACCAAACATAGAAATGTCGGAAAATCAACGCTTAATAAAAAAAAGGAAATTTTAGAATCATTATTTGTGATTTTTAGATATATTCTGGATGGTATAGTTTAAAATGCAACTGTACGTCTGGCAGTTCTGTAACAATACTGGAAGATACCTTTGCAGATGTTGATGGAGTTGATTATATTTGATGGCTTGGCTATATTCAATCGAATTCAGAATTTGACTGGCAACGTTGACTTTATTTTTACTAAATTTATCTATATGACTCAGACACTGCTGCAAAAATTCAGCGAAATTAAATAGATATAAAATGTGTATGGTTCCACAGTTAAATTATACAGGGTGATCCATTAAGGGTACGAAGCGACTGTACATAGGTGTAACAATAGCCGGGACTCGTGATAGATTATTTGTTAGTTCTCGGAACGGATGAGCCAACTCAGTCAACAATAATTATTGAAAAGTTAAGGGTCTTCAAGAAGGCTTAGCATCGCCATAAAGTCGTTGAAAAACTAGTGCTTCTTATCACCGGGAGTAATAAATTTGCAAAGCTCGACCATCACAGACCTTCGAAGAAGGTTCCATGAAATTTCGCAATGATTTTGAACAAGTAGACTTAGATCGTCGGGGCCATGTGTTAGGCATCTGGTATCGACTTGCTGCGTCGGTTCAGCCCATGGTGAAGGGAAAAATCGATATTTCTAACGCGCGAAATACGTTTGAAAAGACGTAGGAATTCCAACATATTTAAATAAGTTGTTACAATGTTATGAGAAAAATAATAATTGATCAAATAGCTGTTTTTTAGGCGGATTTTCCAAGCTATAAGAATAGATTAAATGAGACTGACTAGTCCGTTTGTAGCGTAGAGGTTTAATTAAATTTTGAGTAGAAATAGTCTTGTTACAATTTATATACATTTGCTAATGTCAATGCTAGGCCGGAGATAATTGAAAGTGTGAAACACAGTTATTGTAGTAATTACGAGATAATTTTCTTAATTTATAATTTATTTCTACACATACATGTATGTAATGTACCAACTTCTTTAAATTTATATATTTTTAAGAATATAAAATATATGTATCTCCTGACACAGCTTATAAAACTGCTTTGCAACAAGTTACAAACACAATCATAACAATTAACCTATTTACATGTCAATTTATTACTAACAGATAATACTTGAAAGTGTCAGAAATGATATTATTTACGGAGTAATTACAGACAGAGATAGGCTATATTTACTGAAAAATGTTTATGGGCTAAAGTATTTAATTGCATACAATACTTTTTAATTTTCGACATGGCATATGAAATGTTATTCCATTTTTCATTATGTTATTTTATTTATTTTACTGCCGAAGAAAGAATCATATAACTTATCAAGGTCTATTAATTTTAGATACCTTTGTGAAAATAATAGAACAAAAAAACAGTTATAAAATCAAAGATCATCTGAGTCTATTTCTAATCAAAGGAGAATATATCAAAAAGGATATGATATTCGTCTTCAGATATCAACAAATATTTCTTAAACACTAGAGATGACTATTTAACATTCAACAAACTGATATTCACTTAATAAAATTAGAGCAAAGATATGAATAAAACAAAATGTTGATTGTATAAAAGTACCATTGTTTTTCGAGATGTGATGCCGTGGTTTCAACCTGGTCGCCGCCAGTTACAGACTTACACTACACTTCCTTAGCCTCAGCTAAAAATATATCACATGTCCTTGTTGTTCTCGGGCTACGTTCTGTGGGTACGAACCCGTTATCAGAACCCTTAGTTCCTGATGTTGATTTCGGTTCTTGTTGTTGATTCTAAGACCGCTACGAACGAAAACGTTCAGATAATGGCTTTTATAACTGGTATCATCGAATGCTTCCGAACGTATCAGAAATTTCTTGAAATAATTACTTATGTTAAAAATTGTTGGTATACCTATTGTGTGTTGTACTAAATCTTGAAAAAATGATTGAGGACTTAGTTTAGTACACAACAGTATACAAAATAAGAGATAAAACATTTAAGGGGGATAGCCACTGTAATGGCCGAAAAAATGAGCGATTTTCGTTAATTTTTTGACCGGAAAAATTTAAGAATATCAGGATCAGGTTTTTTTTTATTTCAATAAGTCTATATTCAACTTGATTCACGTAAATTTTTATTAAAAAATATTAAGTTGTTACAAAGTCATGGGCCCTGCCGTAAAGCCTTAAAAAAAATCCCCCTCCATGGTCGCATCGATTTTCCAAAAACAGGTTATTTGAAAAAAAGAAATCAAATTACATTAGAATCTATATGAATGTAGTTATCGTTGTACGTAGCCATTTTTGTTATTTTGATTTTTTACAAAATGGGGACCGATTTAAAAATTTTTTCAGTTTTTTGCCCCTTTTCAAAATTAAAATTTTCAAAATCGCCTACGTTTAACCTTAGCCATTGCAAATATAAATAAAACAAAAAAAAAATGAAAATCGGTTGATAAAATTAATCGAGTTATCGATGCGACCAGTTTGAAAAAAGTCGTTTTGAGAAAAACGCATTTAAAATTTTCGGACCATTTTTCTTACTATTCATGTATCTACTAACCTATTTAAACTTACATCAAACTGTCGAGTCCTGGGCCATATGATAGTTCTTTCTCTACATCTCCAGTGGTGTCCTTGGCATTGTTTTTTATTTTATTGCCCTTTTGCACACGATTCTCAGCACCTTTCACCCGGTTTGCATCTCGGTCGGGGCAGTAAGAGTAGAATGTCAGTTTTCGGAATTTTGACTTAAAATTTTATAAGTACCGTTTCCGAAGGCATAAACCTTAAGTTAGAGCAAACAAATATATATTTGACCGATCACAGTTGCTATCCCCCATTAAAAAATTAATAAATACAAATATAAGCAAAAAAGAAGTACCTACTATTTAAAATAGGATTAAAAGTAATAAAATAGTAATAAATAACTCATTAAGCCGATATCACGGATATATTGTTGGTTAAGGATTTTTGTGTACTAGAATATGTTTTATTCATGTTTATCCTATATTTAATGCAAAATTAGAGCTCTATTTGTTTTTGACGTATTACTGTTTAATATTTTAATAATGGTTATCATTTCTGGTTTTGGTGGATCTCAAATAAGGGTTTTGTAAAGTATCGTTGTTTCTGGCAAAATGATAGTGAATCTCATCACTCTTAGTATACTTCTATCTACACTCATCTTTGCATGTATTTAAGTTAGAAGCGCTTGTATCGTCAGCAAATTGAATAGTTATACCTAACTAAGTCAATCACATAACAAGGTAAATCGTTGACATAAATTAATAGAAGCAGATCAATGCTGTTCCTTGTGGAACTCCTACGTTAATACCGAAACATATTGATGTGGTATTATTATTATCGACATATGCCTTTTGCTGATATTTTATCTATGCAAATTGAATGAGACACGCAATCAAATGCTTTGATGGGATCAAGGAACTGAGAAAATATATATTCCTTAAGCTCTGATACTAGTTATCCTTGACTAAAGTTGTTGAGTAACGTGCCCTAGGCCACGTCCTCTACCCCACTCCATGGTAAAGAGCGATAATCCTGCTCGACCCCGCTTCATTCGAGGTCATATATTCAACCAAGGATATTAGCGCAAACGGCCCACTATCGGTCAAACGGCATTTTTTTATGTCAAAATCAAATATCTCGCAGAAGAATTAACGAATCGTTTTATTTTTTTTTAAATAAAGCTTATTTGATGCAGATTTAGGGAAAATTATTGCGAATTTCATCATCCCCTATTTTTGGGGTGGAAATGAAGGGTGAATTGGTGAAAAGTGAAAATCGGTTTTGTTCGTTAAAAAATCTTATATGTTCGTTAAATACTGTGAAATTAACACATTTTGATGGAATCAATGCTCAATTGAAACAAGTTAAGGAAAAATTAATGAAAATATTTTCATCCCTATTTTAAGGGTGGAAGTGAGGGATGTGGGTGTGGAAAAATGAAAATTAAAGAAAATATGCGTAAATGGTTTTTGTTGTCGCTGAACACGAATAAAAGCATCACTAAAACAAAAAACTCCTTTTTAGGAGCTGTCTTTGTCATCCCCTGATTTAGGGGAAGAAATGAGGGGCGGGGGATTGAATAATAAAATTCATCTGAAACATTACCAGTCTTTCAATTTGCTGAACTTAAATATACAAATATACAAATTATAAAAACAATACGTGTACAATATATTGTGTTCAGAGCTGTAATTTTATTGCCTTGTTATAAGAGAAACTGCGTTTTGACACAGAAATGAATGTTTGCTTACAGTAAGCTAACCAATTCATATAAAAAATGTATTTATTTTTTATTGTTATTCAAGGGTAGAAATAAGAAGTGAGGATATGAAGTATCAAAAATCAGCGAAACTATTATCGGAAGTTTTTGATGGTCACTAAACATTAATCTGACATATTTTTTTCATTATTCCCTATTTTGAATAGGGGATGCATTTAAAACGCATCTAACTTATATTTCAGAATCATCCCCTATCTCAGAAGTGGCTTTTATTATCCTCTAGTTCAATGAAAGAAATGTACCCATGTACATTGAAAAAAAGAAAAAATTTAACAAAAATTTCGATTAAGGTGTACATCGTCGATGAGCACGAAACCTATCAGCATTTTAGTCACCGTCCCCTATTTTAAGGGAGGAAATGAATCAAGCAAATATTGATTTTAATATATTAATTTTGTATTTATCGAAGATATAAGATTTCTGAACGAAGAAAATCGATTTTCACTTTCACCAATTCACCATTCCACCCCCAAAATAGGGGATGATGACATTCGCAATAATTTTCCCTAAATCTGCATCAAATAAGCGTTAATTAAAAAAAAAAATTAGTTCAATTTTGCAACTCGGAGGCTTTTGGGGTCGTTAAACACGAATATCACGACGGCAACGGTCTCCGAGGTACCTAGTGCCCAGGGTGGCCGATAAAATTAATTTGAAACACACAGGGCGATGAGTAAAAACGGGACACGCCAAATATAACATTTTTTAAATGGAACACCCTGTATATTTTTA